TTGGAAAAAAAAAGAATGACATCACGATTTGTACTTACCTCTTTGTGGTTAGCAATTAAATTGATCAAATTTTGAAGTTGTCGAGAGAAAAATGGAAAATTACTAACTAATCTGTGACCAAGTCACTGGTACAATTCGGAATGCGCATTTCTTGCATAAGAGGAACAAGGACACCAGATCTCCGCAAGAGATAAATGCTGGAAAATCTCCTTCTCAGACATGTTAAGCGGACTAGCGGAAAAGTATTTTTTTAATCTTTTTGATTCGTGAGAACATCCTGAAATTTGATCTATAAATGTTTGGGATCTAGCTCTAAATTATTCCATTTGTTTCTCAGGGTAATGACAAAGAAAAACACTGGGATATTTTTTAAAAAGGACAAATTGTATGCAAATTCTATGGCATATTTTAATGCCCAAAATTAAAATTCTTTAACTCTTCCACATTTTTCACTTGAGCATATGATTGTTTTGTAAGGGATTTGACAACATTTCGAAAGTATTCATATTAACCACAACTCACACTGGTGAGATAATGTACGTATTTTCAAATAAGAGAAGGGCATTCCAGCATCAATCCTGTGATCAACTTATTTTGTTGAACGCTTACTCACTATAGCATTACTTCCACAGGGTTCGATTTTATGGCAATGTTTGAGAGAGTAAGCTAAATCTCTCCTGTTTCATTAATTTTAGCGTGTTTCCATCAACCTCCAAATATCATCCCAGTGTTCAAGTGCCCTTCTACCTGAAAACCGCAACAAGAATCGCCTTGACTCCGTTCTTCCATATGAAAGCAATCGTGTTGTTCTATTAGCTACTCGAGGTTTTGAAGGCGCTGACTATATCAATGCTAGTTTTGTAGATGGCTACTGGCACGAGAGAGCCTATATTGCCACCCAAGCGCCATTAGCCAGCACAACCAAAGATTTTTGGCGAATGATATGGCAGCACAATTCTCCCATCATCGTGATGCTAAGTCAAGTGGTTGAAAACTGTCGTGAACAGTGCTTCCAATACTGGCCATCAGAACGATCTCAAAGGTATGAGCAATTTCTAGTTGAGCCCATGGTGGAGTACAATATGCCAAGTTTCGTCCTTCGGGAATTCCGAATTACCGACACCCAGGATGGACAGTCCCGTACTCTGAGGCAGTTTCAGTTCTCCGACTGGCCCGATAATGGGGTTCCGATATCAAAAGCGGCAGAAACCCTCATTGATCTAATTTCCCAAGTTCACAAGACGCAAACCCAATTCGGGCAAGACGGCCCAATCACTGTACACTGCAGGTAAATTACAATTCTTATTGGTCACATGAAGTAACCATAGTTTTTATTGATTAACTTATTATTATTATTTAATTAAAACAGAGGAAGATTCCGATTAAAGAATGGGATGAAATTTTGAGATAGAAAATAATTTTTCCATGAAAGAGGGGTGTAATGTAGGCATTCGATGGAATAAAGTTTAACTTTTAAATTATTATTAAATTATTAATAGTTGGGTCAATCTATTGATTTTAACTAGGTTTTCCCTAAGGTTTTTTGCCAGACTATATGCTGTTATTAAATACCAGAAAAACTGTTAAAATAATAAGCGGCCCTCTGCTTCTTCACATTTTGAGCTTTCATGAAGGAGTCGCGTTTAAACACGAATAAATATTAAATTTTTTTGCATTGGCTTTTCGCTATTCGGCCTTCATATGTTTTCTTTCATAAATAACTCCCCAATTGTAATGATTTATTGGTACACTTTGCCTCACTTATTATTAAATATGTCCTTAAACCGTGTTCTACTTTCCTATAATGACGGTTGCTTTGTCGTCGAAGTCCTGACCACAGATTGTTCACCAACTGGTACGAGGTTAGACAAATTCATTCCTCTACTCAATATATTCTCTCAAAGTGAATGCGTTGATTAAAGTCAGAATTTAAGAGAAGGTATGATATACAATAGATCTAGAGTCATCATGATGTCCATTTTATATTTAACTGGTTTAAATCGGCGCGTTTTTTCGTGACTACTTTAATATTTAAAGTTTACAGCTAATGCTTGTTTCTTCGGTTTGCATGTGCGCAGTGTTCAAAAGCTAATAACCAACTTAGTGAAATATTACACATTTTCACCATCTCTATAAATGAGTCCCTTTGTCTTCAAATTTGTGATTGATGGTGTCCCCATTTAAAGGCTAGTTAACATAAAGATGAGTTCATAAATTTGCTCTCTGGAACGCAGTTAAAACTTTGCAAGTAGGAAATAATTTTTTGTGAATTGGCTGGTTGAAGAAATCCAAACTCTTCAGTAAGGTTGAAAAAGGTTTGGGACATTTCAATTTGATTTTTTTCGTTTTGTGGTCATTTGAAAATATACATGAAGACATGCCTATTTGTTGTTTCTATTAAAAATTTTCTGAACATCAAGATGAATATAATAGCAAAGTCTGAAGCGGTCTTTCATACACAATTTTGGCATTTTAAAATGTGCTTCCAAGTTCCTAAGAGAGAAGAATAAATTTCCTCTGAATTTGTAACTCTTTCTATTCGACTTCACTTCTAACTATACTCATGCTACGTTGGAGATCAATCGTGAACCTAAAACAAAGGCATGAAACAAGTTGGGAGGTTCATGAAATTTTCTCAAACCGAAATTGTTAACAACTTTCAGCCACATTTGCATAACGTTGTCTAAATAAAGTTATTTTTCTTACATAACTACTGAGAGATTTGCACAAGATCTCATACTAAAAGACACAGCAAATTCTGGCAGTTTCCAAGGGACAATTCATTCAGTTTCAATGTGTCTATAAAAAAGAGCAAGTTTTGAGTATATGCTCCCGTTTCTACCTAATGTTTAGTAAAGAGGCCAAAACTTCAACAGCACCTAGCAACTCTGTTTTCAAACTAATTATTAAAACATTCCCTATCAGGGATTCATTTATTTATTTATTTATTTCAAATGGCAGGCATTTTGATAGTTATCATTAGCCCTTTAGTTGACTTCGGGCTTCACAGAAGGGAGGAAGATTAAAGTGAGAAAAATTCGACAGTGATTCACAGATGTAAAAGAGACAGACAGACACAAAGGCAGAGTAAAGGCTAGATGAGTACTGTGGAAGGGGTCAAATATGGCATACAGTGGGATCAAGTTGGTTTGAAGTGAAAAGTTAACTGCCGGTTAATAGACTTTTTGCCGTATGAGTA